AGGTATATCATGGCTTCCGAGGTACTTAAAACCTAATCAAGAAGACAAAATTAGCACCTATTAAATTAGAGGAAAACATGGAAATTACACATTAACTAGTGCTAGATTTTATGATACTGACTATGCATGCTGTGGAAAGACATTTTTTAATTGTCGTTTGTTATATGTAAAGGTCAAGGAAGGTTTTGGACAGCAGATGGAATTTGTGCGGGGCCTCAGAGAAAATATATTAGGTTTTGGACTGGCAGAGGTGGTGTCCCTGGTATGGGTCAACAAATACAAAGAAACAATAGAATAACTTGAAAGGTTTAACATAATTTTAAAGAAAAGATCTTCATTGGAGAGGTGTTTAGAGAGATTACCAAAGTATCTTGCTTTTTAAAATGCCATCTTAAAGCATCCTACTTGGACATTTTCCTAAAGTTACATACCATGGCTCATAGTGGGTTCTGGAGAAGCCCATTAGGCTATGAGCTGCACTAGTACTTTCTCTGCTTTATCTAAATTTTCACAACCAGGCCATGACAGGGCTTGGTCCTGGTAAAATACCACAGAATATCAAATTTATTATCACTTCATCTGGATTCTGACAGAAAATGAGAAAAGAACCTTTGAATGAGATAAAGACCAGGAAAACTAGTACTTTGTTAGTTCTCTGTTTTTTAACCCAGCAGAGCTCCACTCCCAGAGATTTCAGCACAGATGAGTCTTCATGATTTACATAATATTAGAGCTTATTAATAGTACAAGTTTTATTTTCTCTTTTTAATTCTTCTATAATAAAGAGCTCACTTCTCAAAGCCAAGCAACAGTAGGATACTGCAGCTATATTCTGAACCCATTAGCATTAATCCTTGATAAAGAAGTATATTCTTACAGAATGACTCATTATTCTCGAGCCAATCCGGAACATTCTCTGACCTTTCAGTGTCTCAGTCTCGGGTTCTATAAAAGAGATTTTTTTTTTGTCTATAAAGAAGATAGACCCTCAGATTGTAAAAACTACTATTCTTTTTTGATGAAACACAATGAGTGGACACTGCTACATTTCACGGATTTTCAGTTGGCTTTAAAAAGAAATAGACTGAACCAATGTGTCAGTACTTGATTTTCTATATTCTATAACATTTACCAACCTTTTAAGGAACTAAAAAGCAATGAAAATTATTTCCCTGTCCAAACATGTGTCAGGAGCTCCTTTTAATGATGTATTTAAATAACGATACTGTTAAATGAAAGAACTTATGTAGAAATGAGAGCCTCCTCATTTCAGAATATCAAACCTGATTTTAGAATTTAGCATTTGAATCTACTTACAATCTTTCTAATAATGGACAAAGAAAGGCTAATTCTTTTAGGTTTGTTCAGGTTTTTAAATATTTTTCCTTATGGTATGCTGTCTTTCAGCAAGAATGAGTAAGACAGCCAACACTAGATTTAAGATCTAATTTTATTCAGACTGAGAAAGAAGTTTTTCTGTTACAATGCATGCAGTTTCAGCCATTTTTCCCAAGGCTGTTTAGAAGCATTTTCCTTTTTGGGCTTGCCTCTATATTTGATTTGCTTGATCAAACATAATTTTTAAATGATTAATATTTTTCCTTTATTGTCAAAGAAGCTAATAAATATGTAGTCCCCCTTTGAGTGCACTGACTATAGAAAGGTGATGGAATCACACAAATGCATCCCACCACCGGGGCTGAGGTTCCCCACAGACCACACACAGGTGGGCAAAACCAAAATCAGACATAAGGGAGGGTCTGTCCAGAGAATTCCTTGAAGAACACTCATTAAAAAGGCTAGTATTTCCTGTGAGAGACAGAGGTTCCATGAAGATTTGTGGTTATAGTACTCATGATGGTTTTATCTTAAAATTCAAAGATTAAAATAATTGTGCAAAATTCTAAATAAAAGGGGGAAAAAAGGAGACATCTTCACTCTTTATTAAGAAGCTGCTACATCAAGTCTGCTAATTGATCCCAAGAATCAGTGACTGTTGTAGGAGAAATCCCAGATCACAGAAGTGAACCAGGCTTACAGTCACCTTCCCATTACCTATCACTTCCACTTTCCTCTCATCCCACCTCTAGGATGGCAGCAAATGATGAGTCAAATAGACTTCAACTTCACCATCATTTAGACCTGCATATAAAGGAATGAATAGCCATCAAGATTTAGGTTCCAAATTGTATTCCATTGAAGGACCCTACAGAATCTCCTCAAAATTCAGAAAACCAATACTTGCCTCTATTGGACAAAGGAGGAGACCAAAATGCCAAAAGCCACTGAATCATTTAATAGTCTCCATAAACCTTCTATGAGCCAAAGTTTCACCTAGTCTGAAATGTAAGGGTGGGAATCACTGTCAACCAAGGATAAAATCCAGTTCCTTAAAATAAAACAGCACAGAGGTTTGCAAACTATCGCCAGGTTTGAGAGTCGCTGGCAATCAGGTATAAAATTCAGTTTTTTACAATGTAACAGCACAGAAATTTGCAAATGATCACCAGGCAGAGAAATCCCTGGCAGACATACTGGCCTAGAATGACCAATTACCTGAATGCACTTCCAGGAGAAGCAGAGTCAAGTGTTTCAGTGTCATAATCATTAGTGACTTGGGCTGAGCAGGATGATTATATCTACAAAAACAGATTACACCGGCTCCTTTTCTCCAGGGGCATCAATATGTTAATGAGAAAGAAAGAGCAAACTTCATTTAGGTGTAACACCCCTAAAAATAATATTTGAAAGATTTCAAGTTCTCTTATAAACAATTTAATGAAATGTATTTTTAAAGTACCACCCAAAATTGTTTACCAAGGAGGCAATCCCCTATCTATAGTAAAATCATCATAAGACCCAAAATACAAATGCAATTATTTTCCCTACCTGCATTTTTAGAGAAGAAACTGAAAGCAATTCCTTATATTCCTCTCATTGTCCTAAAACTGCTTCAAGCAGCACTATTAAGCAGCTTTGTATAGATTGTCACATCCCAGGGAAAAAATTAATTAGCTCTCATTAGTTTATGTCAAAGTTTCTGTTTGACCCCAACCTAGAAGTTACATTTTTTATAAAGTAAATGGCTCAGAGTAATAAAACCATAATTAAGTTTATAATAAACCCATAATTAATTAAGATTTTGAACACTAAATTCTTTATTTAATTTTAACAATTAAAATTAGAGATTCTGCCAAATATTCTACCCTTTCATGTTAGGTGGGGCCAGTACCCTGTCAGTAGGCAAGGTCTGTGAACCTCATGCCAAATAGTTACGTGCGCAAACAGAGAGATAACCATTTGTGGAGACAGAGGTGGAGCTGGGCTTGGTTAGGGATGAATCAGACCATCTCACAGAGTGGGTGTCTCCTTCCCAAGTAGGTCTTCAGGGCACAATTAAAACCACTATAAAAGGCTCAGCTACCAACTGCCCAGTACAGTTGCCAGTGGTGTCAGCGAGCACTTGACTTCTCCCTCTGGTGAAGTGGGTAAGTTCCATCCAGTGGGATCATATTCTTCTGTGTGAGTCTCTATATTCTAGTTGTTGTAGATGTTGATGAGAGGGGGCATCAGGGTCCTACTGTGCCAGAAGACATCAGTATCTTACAGGGATGTCTAACTCCATGCCATCTTCTTACTACTGGAGCTATTACTCAGAGACATGGCCCTTCTCTCAAGGCTCTAAACTCGATAAGCTTGTTCACCCACCAGGGGTTGGAAGTTGGTTATGTGTGACTCTGATGGGGTTCATCTTTCTAAAAACTGCTATCTCAAAAATGTTCCAACACTTGGTTCTCTCTCTTCTTTTAATCTTCACCTAAGGATATGTTTACTGATTTGAGAGAGAAAGAAAGGGTAAGAGAGAGACAGAGAAACATTGATTGGTTGCCTCCGGTATGTGCCCCAATCAGGGATTGAACCGGAAACCTGTTAGTGTATGGAATGACACTCCAACCAACTGAACAACCCGACCAGGGCCCCTCAGTTCTCTTTTTATATTGGTTTTACCCAATATGGGCCATCTTCGTGTAGTTATGGCATCTGTGGTATTGGGGTTGAGAAGTAATTAATGAAGCCCAGCCAGTGAAACTTTCCCTGTATTCTTTTAATATTGATATCCTTTTGGTTAAGTCCCCCCACACACACTTTTTAAAAATAATGCCAGGATTCAAATGGTTTGTTTTAGTTTAACAAAAGTGAACCATAAGACCAATATTATTCAGAATTGTCCAGGTTCAGTTTGACCCATTGACTCTGGAAGTACCTCTCAGAAGCTTTCAATAATTGAATATCTTTAACATATCTTAGTTAAGGCAGATAACATGCACTCTCTGTTTTCTTCATTGGTATGTCTGAATATTTTTGTACAATGCCGCCTTTGACTATGAAGAAGTAATGCTTAATCTGAGCCCAGGTAAACTATGAATTAGGTTCTTAGATCTCCTATGGGCTATAATGTTGGGAAATAATCCACACTCCCTTTTTAATGTTCTAGTTACCACCAAATATTTTGCTGCCGCAATTATGTGTACATGGTTTCTATCCACTTTAAGATACTTTCAGATATTCCCTCACCTTTTTGGCTTTCACCTATCCTCTGTTCAACTGTAGAGGAAGTTGCAATGAGAAGCGACATATCAAATTTAAATTTCTTTATTATTCTCTATGCTGTCTGATCTGCAATATGTTAGGGAGCAGAAAGAGAGAGAAGGAAATGAGATGGATAATCCAGATGGGATAAACAATCTAAAAGCTGCTGACAGGATAGTCTAAAGATAACTCCCTGGCTCTAAGTTTCTAAAGATCTCTCTTCCATTTCCTAAGTACAATATTTAAAGATAAAATGCTTTGAAAGTCTGGGTTAAAAATAACTACTGCTGTTAAGTCAAATTATTTAGGCATCTGTCCAAAACAGTATGGCTAAAACCTCCCCAAGATCACAGTTTTGACTCTTTATCCTATTTTATTGTTTTAGGTTTACTTGAACTTAAGGGGAAAAAATGTCTCCACTTCTGAGAAGCATCTTTGATATCACTGAAGTTTTCAATCAATATGCCTCACATGATTGTGATGGGGCAGCACTATGCAAGAAAGACCTGAAGAATCTCCTTGAAAGGGAATTTGGAGCTGTCCTTCAGGTAAGAAATAAGAAGAAAGGGAAATTTCTCTATTGATTTGAGGCTATGAAATTTCTTCTCAGGAGTGACCAGAGCAAGGAATGGTGACTTTTTATTCATTTTACCCCGCAACAGCTCTATATTATATCCCTCATTCACTTTAACCGTCATTGCAGTCTGGGTACTAAAAAAGTTACTAACAATTATTTCTGTACTTGATAGCAATGTCAATGTGAATGAACTGGTTGTCATGGGAAGTTATTAGAAAAGATGTAAGATCAAACTAGACTTAGAAGGAATTTAAAATTATTTCCAAATTTCAGTAATCAAAATCATACTGTTCACTAGTAAAATAGTGTTACCATAAATGTTTTGTTCTGTTTCAAACATGGAATAAAAATCAAATCAGAAGAACTAGCCATTTCAAACAGAAATGGCTGCTGCAAATCTTCATAAATGTCAATTGTAGTTTTCTCTTGAGGATGAGTTCATTATTCACCCAGCTGAAGAGAACTTGTGATCTTCTAATCAGCATTCAATTATAAGATGCAAAAATTTCCAACAAGTGTATGTTATATAATGAGGTATTATGGGGACAACAAAACTCTACCATACACACTGGGACTTTTCTAATTGCTCTTAATGTCTTTTTGAAGTGTCAGCATATCATAAAATATACATTGTGTGTGAAAGTTTACTACTAGTAAATGGTATATTGTAAAAAAAAATTTGTTTTCATCTTTTTTCAGAGACCACGTGATCCTGAAACGGTAGATCTGCTCCTAGAACTTCTGGATCGCGACTGTAACGGGCTTGTAGATTTCAATGAGTTCCTCCTGTTCATTTTCAAGGTGGCTCAAGCTTGTTATTACGCCCTCGCGGAGGCCTCAGGGCTAGAGAAGGGAGCCAAGTGTGAGGGAAAGGGGAACCCATTACAAGATCGCAGGCAAGAAGACCAAAGGAAGTTTGAGCTCCGGGAGGGACAGTTCAAAGAAGAACGCAGGCAGAAGAGGCAGCAACAAGAGAGGGAGTTCACCGAGGAAGCGGAGCAGAGGGAGAAGGACGAGAGACGCGAGCAAGAGCTGCAACGGCAAGAATGGGAAGCGCGCCTTGAGGAGGAAGAGCTGCTGCATAGGTGCCAGAGAGTGGTACCTGAGGAGTTTCCTGTCCAAGAGAGGAGGCAAGAAAGACAGGAGCAGCGGGAGCGCCAGGAAGGGGAGCAGCTACCCCTGCGGAAAGGGCAGGAGCTGAGGAGGGAGCGCCAGGAGGAAGAAGAGCCACTACAAAGGCAGAGGCGCGAGAGCCGGGAGCGCTTGGAGCAGGAGAGGCACCAGGAGCAGCTCAGGCGCGAGCAGGAACCGCGCTTGGAACAGAAGCTGAGGCGACAACGTGAGCTGAGGAGGGAGCAGGAAGAAAGGCCTGAGCAGGAACCGGTCTTGGAGCAGCTGAAGCGCGAGCAGGAGAGGTGCGAACAGGAGAGGCGCCAGCAGGAGCTGAGGCGCAAGCAAGAGCTGAGGCGCGAGCAGGAGTCGCTCTTGGAGCAGATGAGGCGTGAGCAGCAGCTGGCTGAGGAAGAGGTACAGCAGGAAGAGGCTAGTGAGCAGGGCGAGAGCCACACCTTGAGGTGGCAGCGGCAGCTGGAAAGCGAGGCCAACGCCCGTCAGAACAAAGTCTACTCCAGGCCCCGTAGGCAGGAGCTGCAGAGGCGCCACCAGGAGCAGGGGGAAGAGGAGAGGCGGTTCCAGGAGCGCGAGCAGCGACTGCGAGAGCGGGAAGAGGACGCCCAGTGGCCAAGCCATACCCTCCGAGAGGAGCGCAAGAGGCAGCTGCGCCAGGAGGAAGAAGAGCAGCTCCGGAACCTCAACTATCAGAGGCAGGCTAAGCAAGAGAGTGAGAGGCGCCGCCAAAGGCTGTCGGCCAGGCCCCCATTGCAGGAGCAGGAGCAGCGGAATGCGCAGCTGAGGACGGAGCAGCGCCAGGAGCAGGGACGACTGCTCCAAGGGGAGGAGCTGAGCAGACAACGACTGGAGAAGGAGCAGGAGCTGCAGTTCCGCGAGGAGGAGCAGCTCCAGGAGGAGTACCTCCAAGAGGATCAGGAGAGGGAGCGGCGCCAGCAGCTGCGCCGCGACCAAAAATCGAGGTGGCAACTAGAGGAGGAAAGCCAGAGACGCCGCCACACTCAATACACCAAGCCAGCTCAGCGCGAACAGCTGCAGGAGGAGGAAGAGCAGCAGCAACCGGAGAAGAGGCTTCAGGAACGGGAGAGACAGTATCGGGAAGAAGATCAACGGCGGGAGGAAGAGCAGCTGCAGAGAGAACGGAGGCACCAGCAGCGTGATAGGCAGTATCTGGAGGAGGAGGAGGAGCACCAGGACCAGGTGCACCAATTCCGGGATGATAATCAGCGCTGTGATCTGAAATGTCAGTGGCAACCAGAAAAAGGAAATGAAGTTGGTAATTACAGGGTTTACTCCAAACGCAGAGAGAATGAAGAAAAGATCCGGCAAGTGGAAGATCCCCAGGTGCGGGAGAAGCAATTCCAGCAGGATCGGTGGGCACTGCAGAATGAACAAGAAGAGCAGCAGTTCGACAGGCAGTTCCCAACCAAAGAGCTGCTGGAGCGAGACGAGCAAAGGGGAGCGAAAAGGCGAGACAGGAAGTTCCAAGAGGAAGAGCAGCTGCTAGAGGAGGAAAGAGAGGGGAAACCCCTTCAGGAAGAAGACAGAAGGTTCCGTAAGGAGAAACAGCTCCTGCAGGAACGGGAAGAACGGCAGCTGCTTCTCCAAGACAGCGACAGAAAGCTCCGTGAGGAGGAACAGCAACTCCGCCGCCAGGAACGCGAGCAACAGCTTCGCCAGCAGCGCGACAGAGAATCCCGTGAGGAGGAGCAGCTCCTTCAGGAAAGAGGAGAACAGCTGCGTCGCCAGGAGCGCGACAGATATCTACGCGAGGAGGAACAACAGCTGCGCCGCCAGGAACTTGAGCGACAGCTTATCCGGGAACGGGAACAACAGCTGCGTGGCCAAGAGAGCGACAGAAAGCTCCGCGAGGAGGAACAGCAACTCCGCCGCCGGGAACGCGAGCAACAGCTTCGCCGGCAGCGCGACAGAGAATCCGACAGAGAATCCCGTGAGGAGGAGCAGCTCCTTCAGGAAAGGGGAGAACAGCTGCGTCGCCAGGAGCGCAAAAAGAACAGCACTGCGTCGCCGGAGCGACCTCCAAAAAAAGCGCGACAGAAATCTCCGCGAGGAGGAGCCCCGGGAACGCAACAGCTTCGCCCACGAGGAGCAGCTCCTTCAGGAAAGAGGAGAACAGCTGCGTCGCCGGGAGCGCGAGGGACAGCTTATCCGGGAACGGGAACTACAGCTGCGTCGCCAAGAGAGCAACGGAAAGCTCCGAGAGGAGGTACGGCAACTCGGCCCCCGGGAAGGAGAGCAACAGCTTCGCCGGCAGCGCGACAGAGAATCCCGTGAGGAGGAGCAGCTCCTTCAGGAAAGAGGAGAACAGCTGCGTCGCCAGGAGCGCGACAGAAATCTACGTGAGGAGGAACAGCAGCTGCGTCGCCAAGAGAACGGCAGAAAGTTCCGCGAGGAGGAACAACAGCTGCGCCGCGAGGAACAAGAGCGACAGCTTTTCCAGGAACGGGAACAACAGCTGCGTCGCCAAGAGAGCGACAGAAAGCTCCGCGAGGAGGAACAGCAACTCAGCGCCAGGGAACGCGAGCAACAGCGTGGCGAGGAGCATGACAGAGAATCCCGTGAGGAGGAACAGCTTCTCCAAAAAAGGGGAGAACAACTGCGCCGCCAGGAACGTGACAGAAAATTCCGTGAAGAAGAGCAGCTCCTCCGGGAACAGGAACAGCCCCTGCGTCTCCAAGAACGCGCCAGAAAATTTCCTGAGGAGGAACAGCTTCTCCGGGAACTAGAAGACCAGCAGCTGCGTCGCCAGGAACGAGAGAAAAAGCTTCGCCAAGAGCGTGAAAGAGAACTTCAGAAGGAGGAACAGTTTCTCCAGGAAAGAGAACAGTCGCGCCGCCAGGAACGCGACAGGAAATTTCGTGAGGACGAACAGCTCCTCCAGGAAAGGGAAGAACCGCAGCTGCGTGGCCGAGAGCGCGACAGACGTCTGCGCGAGGAGGAACAGCAACTCCGCCGCCAGGAACGCGAGCAACAGCTCCGCCGGCAGCGCGACAGAGAATCCGACAGAGAATCCCGTGAGGAGGAGCAGCTCCTTCAGGAAAGGGGAGAACAGCTGCGGCGCCAGGAGCGCCAGGAGCGCGATAGATATCTACGCGAGGAGGAACAGCAGCGGCGCCTCCAGGAACGCGACGAGCAGCTTATCCAGGAACGAAAAGAACAGCAGCTGCGTCGCCGAGAACAGCAGCAGCGGGAGGAACAAGAACTGAAGCGCCGGCAGGAGCTAAACCAGCAGTACCGAGAAGAGAAGCCATTTGCCCGGGGGGAGAAGAGGCGCCTTCAGGGACAGGAACTGCGGCAAGAAGAGCAGAGACGCCGCCAAGAGCCGGAAAGGAAATTCCGGGAAGAAGAGCAGCTCCGCAGCCTGCAGGAGGGGGTGCAAAGGCGTGGCCAAGTCCCGGAGGAAAAAGAAAAGGGTCGTCAGCAGTTTCTGGAATCTGGCGAGAGTCAGTTTGCCAGTGCCCCGGTGCGCTCCAGCCCTCTCTATGAGTACATCCAAGAGCAGAGATCCCAATACCGCCCTTAAGAAATGCCATATTCCAACACTTGCCAAAGCTTCAGCAAAAAGAAATGGGAAGCACTGGGTACTAAATGACTCAAATGATTATGGTTGTGGGAAAACTCTCTTATGTTAGAATATATCTTTAATCCAAAATCTTAAACTACATTCATTCCATGTACTTTGTACCTCTACCTTTTATTCTCCCTCAAATAGTTCTTTACTGCAGGATGTCTTTGGTGCATATGTGGTGACCATTTTTTAAAACAAATCATTTAATTTGTTTAAGGAGTTTTGTTTGGGGACATGTTAATTTATTGCTTTCAAAAAGCAATCACATTAACAAGAATAATGTGATAATGTGACATTCAAAAGAATTGGGTCTTTTTTTTTTTTTAGTGGTTGACATATCTTGTAGAGAATTTAGATAATTTTAGTGTTCAAGTTGATATATCTTCTTGGGCCTAGATTACGTTAATACTTATCTCCAAATAGCCTCTCATCTTTTGTGGCTTAATTAGCACAGATTGTGCAAGGGGACTGCATATTTACAACCTTTGAATAGTGCAGGGAAACTGACTTGGACAGAAAAACTTTCTGTGAAATAAGCCCATAACTGGAAGAAATATCTGTTAAGAATAAGGTTTAGCTTTATTTAGAATTTGAATTGGAATTTTTTACACTCAACTCCATAAACATTTAAAATCTCATAGAGCAAAAGTAAGGTGTTTCTCAAACATCTCCAGAGCTCAAATTTTAAAACTCTGTCTGCCATAGTCTATAGTGCTCAGTTCTCTTCCTCTAGTCTTTGGTGAATTTCAGAATATTGCTGTCTTAGTTAATTTTAGTTCAGAGGGAACCTGTTCAGGATTCTGTAAGCCTCTATCTTGCTCTAGGACCAATAAGAGATCACAGAGAACATTTTCGGGGAGGGAAAGGGGAAAAAATGCAAACAGAAAAGACCCATTAGCCTATAATTCTTTGAAGCCTATTAATACTACCTTGGAAACATTCTTCTTGAAATAATTGGACTGTATAAAAAATTAATAATAAATGTTTGGCAAACAATTATTTTTGTCTGTTTTAATTATGCATCAAATCATAACTCGGTATCTACTGGTCTAGGAACTGGAAAAAAGTTCTCATTGCTTAAGGGTATTTGGTTACAATTATCCACGTTCTAAATATGAAAAAAGAAAAAAACCATACACCTCTCTTTTCCCTCAACCATTTTTCCCTGTTAGGGTGAACTGTAAATTATTTCTATTTCCATCCCCAAGCTAGAATTCTCTACCCATGTTTATATTCTTGAGTTCACAGCTTTCTGTGTCCTTTTTAGCTATGACTCACAGGTCATGACAAATAATGGTGCTCTCAGTGTCTGCTAATATTTTCTTCCAAGAATATAGCAGCTTCTTTGTCTCTGATGTCTAGTGAACCAATAGTAGAAAATAGCCTGAAAGTTCAGCTCAGGATTATAGAAATTATAGATGAATTGTTGGTTTAAGCAACACAGTCCATCAGGTGACCCAGTCAGAAGGAGTTTAATAGTAATGCCAAAAATAGCATGTTATTATCTAATGATCCAAACACCCTGTGCCACCTGCTGGAGTCTATATTTGGTATTCACACCTTGGTACTAGAAATAAGTCCAAGAAGGCCCTGATGCAGAATAGTATCATTTCTAAATTGTGAGCATCATGGATGAGAAGACATTCTAAGTTATAGATACCAAGATTTTGGTGAGTTGTGGAGGCAGGAAAAGTAAACTCCTGAGTATCATTCTGATAGAGTAATATGGCATTTTTCTGCAAGGATCACCAGTCTCTCCCTTGCTTTAACATAAATAACTGATACCCACAATAGACAAAACCTGGGAATCCCCTGACACACTACCATGGAACATCACCTCTTTCAAATAATTTCTAACTACAAAACTATTTTTTCTCTTAAGATAAGTGTATGCTTTTCCTTACTTAAGGATCTTCGCAGAAACCATGGAAAAGCCCCCACTGACTTTCCCCAGGATCCTCTCAACAGGAACTCATTTCAGAACCTCTTTAAAAATGTCAGCCCCAGGATACTCCTGAAATATATACTCATCATCTAAGTTACAGTTCAACAATAAAAAGTATGCTAAAAACAATCAAAGCCCTCAGACTTATAGCACTTTACAAGATAAAGAAGGAGCAATTTCCAAAGAAGAAAGTATTGTTTCATCACAGTTATAATATGTTGTTAAATAAAAGTGTGTCGGCCAGCCCATGCCCTATGGGTCCTCTTTTAGCATGCTGACAGGAGAACATACGAGCAGACTAACTGTTGTGTTCCACCTAGACAGTGTACATTCATGTGCAGAAGCTGGAGGCCGTTGTGCAACTGACTGCTTAAGTCTAAACTGGGAGGGAGCTCTAGTAACATTACCTTAGTTGCTGCTGAAGAATGAGGTTGAGGATTTAAAATGCTCTGTGATGGTAAAGCTGGTATCTATGTAGTATGGGCTGGATTATGTCCTCCCTAAAAGTTTATATGTTGAAGTTTTAACTCCCAGCACCTTAGAATATAGTAGAATATAGGAGATACTGTGTTTAAATAAGTAATTGTACTTAAATGAGATCATTAGGTGGGCACTAATTCAAAATGAATGGTGTCCTTATAAAAAGAGAAAGTTTGGACACACATGATGGAGGGAAGATGATGTGAAGACACAGGAAGAAAATGGCCATCTACAAGCAAGGACAGAGGCCTGGAACAGATCCTGCCCTCATAACCTTCAGAAAAAAGAAAACAACCCTACCAATACCTTGATCTTAGACTTCTGGCCTTCCCAATTCTGAGAAAATAAATTTCTATTGGTTAAGCCACTCAGTCTGGGGCTATTACGATAGCACTAGCAAACTAATATACCATGTAAGGTGTGGTTATGTTGCTAGGGAAATCTATCTGTATCGTAATGATCTTTATCCTTTGACATTGTACAAGCCTGTACTGGTTGCTCAAAGACCCTCTTTTTAATTAAACCTGTCATAGTTTCTATGGTACAATGGAAAGAATGCTACAATGAATAAGAAGCTTGGGGCAATATGCAGACACTGGTGAAGTAGTCATTCTGCCCTGTTCTTTCACTTTACTATCTGTGTGTCCTTGTGCAAGCCACTTAAGCCTTCTGGGCTTCCATTGTTTTATATTTCAAACTATTAGACTAGAAGAGCTATCACCCAAGATTATTCCCAGGACTGAAAAATAATTACTTTAATTATAATATTCAGCTTGTCCAACTGAAAATCTCAAAGCACCTCAAATAATCCCTCACCCCAACTCTACCTTTAGCTAACAGAAAATAAGGGAGAAAATTAACTGATGAAGGTGGTCATCAGAGCCTTGTTCCAGCTTCAAAGATCTTCCTTTCCTATCCAATCAGACCTGAACTTCCCTCCATCTGTCTCCCAAACGCCTCTCCAGAGTGCCTTTCTATCAACCCAGATTTATTCATTTAAGGAAAAGACCCCTACCTACCTCACTTTCGGTGACCCTAATAATATGAAAGATCATCGACCCAATCTATAAACTTCACATATGCATTTAATTACTCCCATTCTTTTCTGAGGAGAGAACAAATTCCTGGAACTTGGTTCCACTCAAACTGAAAGTCCATGGCAACAAGGTAAGCATGAATCCATTTCAGCTCCATCTTCTGCACTAATTAAGCATTGCTGATATTTTCATTCAGTTATAGTAATTATGTTTGTTTAGCAAGTATATTTGCTAAAGTATAATTGCTAACCGTAATCTGAAGATTATAATCTATATAATATGTAATAAACACATGTTTCTCTTGTTAGTAAAGAGCTGACAGTCACATGCAATAATCTGAAATACAACAAAAATAGATTTCTGAATAGGTTATTATTTTCTGAACCCTCAGGACATCCACGACAGGCATTCAAATTACAAAAACATTTTAAAATCTGATTTCTTTTTGTCATTACTCCCCCTTTGTAAAAAAAATTGTACTGTATTTTCTGCAAGATAAAGTCTAAGGTCTTCAGTTTGGAATTTAAGGCTCCCCACATTTTGAAGGCAATTCATCTTTTAAACTCTGGTCACCATGACAAGGAATTATTGTTATTTTAAAGAGGGGAGTAATTAACCAGATGGATAGTTCATAAGGATCACTCTGGCTCTACTGCAGAGGATGGGTTGGAGATGGTAGAGATGGAAGCAGAGAGAACATTAGGAAGATATTACAATGATCCCCAGGAAAGACAGTGATAGCCTGAGCTAGAATAATGGACAAGGATAAAGAAAATGAAATAATATATGAAATAAAATAATATACAAAATATTTTGAGAATTAGAATCAGTAGGAGCTGGTGCTATATTGAAGATGGTGGAGAGAAGAAGATAAAGATGATATTAGATTTTTAGCTAGAGAAACTGGGTGTATAGCGGGACCATTATTGAGATGGAAGCACAAGGGAACCTCAGTTTGTAGTGAGGGTGAAATGACAAGTTCAGTTTACTCACATTGAATTGGAGATGTATTGAGGTTTCCATGAAGAATTACCTAGTTGGCAGCTGGTTATGTGAGTCTAGAGCTCAGGTGAGAAGTTTGGATTTGATATATAAAAGGGGAATATCAGTCTATCAGTAATAATAGGAGCAATAAGAGTAGATAAGATTATTCAGGACAGGAGAAAAGAAAATGAAAAATTGTGCTAAGACAGAACACTGAGAAACAGCAACATTTAAAGGAAATGCAAAAGAAAAATACTAAAGAGGAGAATTTTAAAAAGTAGTTGGAGTGACAGGAAGAAAACCAGGAATATGTGGTATCACGAAAAGTAGGAAAGAACATGCTGCAAGAAAAAGGAGGCAGTTATTATCAGATATTTCAGAGAAGCCAAGCAAGTTAATTCCCAAAAAATGCCTGGTGATTTGGTGACATGGTGGTCAGTAATGATCTCATATATCTCAGTGGATTTGATTTAAGAATTCAAGGAAAGCAAAAATATAAGACAAGGCTT